CTAGACAATTACCCCCCGGACATTTGAAATGGGCGGCCATCTTTGATTTAATTATACATATGACAATTTTATTAGTTTTGGTGCATTTTATCAACTCGTTTGTGGTTGGAATGGATTCAGCATGTATGAAAACATAGAAAATGACACTTTATTCATGTTTACACGACATTTTGTCACAAAGATACGGGCATTTTATTGGTGGCCATCTTGGATTATTGTTGCTTAGCAATATCAGGAGTAGATAATAGGGAAAATTCCCTATTATCTACTCCTGGCAATATCCTACATAATAGCCCTATCCCTAACTACGGCCGCAGCCAAAATGCACACGGTTCGTTCAAGGGTAAATAGCCCGGCAGATATGTGAATAAATTGTGATATTTTGACGATACAAGCATGAGCTTTAGCACACTGTTAGAGCATGCCCTAAGAAAGATTTTTGGCTATAGGGCCATCGTATATTTGTCCCACGGCAACAATGGCGGCCATTTTCCAAGATGGCCGCATTTCAAATCCAGTATCCTTCACTTTCAGTTAATATTCAACAGAAAAACATGATATTTGTGTCTAAACCAACATTATCGGGGTCAAGTAAACGCATCGCAATTACATCATGTCTTCCCTTCTATTACCGGGTTTCGACAATCCGTTTAAAACAAAATCGTACATCTCCTCATCGTGCTAGCTATGTCCGATTGGTACTAACTACCCTAACTATTTGGTAAGCTTGCGCGAAAGGTAAGTTAGCCTGTTATGGTTTAATCTCGTATGCTGGGGATCCATTACGTACAAAGGGCAGTCTGCCGCTCCTACACTTATCACGGAAGTCTTGTTATTGAGAAACGGCAGGAAATGCTTGTAATCACCGAGAAGAGCGCCACGAAGACATGGCGTAGTGACGCAGGGGCGGATCCAGGATTTTTGAAAAGGGGGTGTCCAGGAAGAAAAAAGGGGCACTTTTTCCTGCTTACTTTTTCTGGTGTTTTAAAAAGCTGCCGAAGGCCACTTGGGGAGGGTTGGGAAGCCTCCCCCAAAATTTTTTTTAAAAATTGGTGCATTCTGAGAGCATCTGAGCAGAATGCAAAAATGTCTAGAATGCAAAAATTTATCAGATCCGGTCCCCCGGAGTTTGCCCATTTCTAGGTTTGTATAACAAATTTACATATATATAAATAAATCTTTATCAGAAAAATTAGACGAAATGTATTTACTACCAAAGTCTTAATGTTTCTCTACTCTATGTCGCCTATTATTGCCGATAATTTCCCGTAAATGCCAGTCAAATGCTCATCAGCAACACACAAGTACACCGCACGCCCGCCCTGCGCACAAACAACATAAAAAAGATAATAATAAGATATAATCCTCTCTTATTCATGTTGTTTGTGCGCAGGGCGGGCGTGCGGTGTACTTGTGTGTTGCTGATGAGCATTTGACCGGCATGAAGGAGAGCTGTTCTGCCAAGGAAATCGAATCATTGAATTTTATGTTAATGAAAATCAGTTATGCAAGTCATCTAGCATGATTTTTAGTCACATGCATGTTCAAATAACATTTATACATGTATTTTATGTAAACATGTGCATATCCGTGTACATATGTACATGTATTTACATATCTACATTAAAATACACTAATTTTACACACATTTGGTGCCAGAAAATAGATAATTATCCTCGTTTCACTCTATTGTGGCACTCCTAACACTAACAGTATCAAAATATCTTAACTTTATTGCTTGCAATTCACCCTAACCCTCGTTCTAACACTACGCATAACCGCACGGAGCGAACATTAATTTCCATTGATTTCTGTGTTTTGGGGGCTCATTTCAGAGAGTGATCTCTCAGCTCGTGGAGTCATGCCACATTTGAAATTCGGTACCCGTATAAGGGAAAGGGTCTAAATCATTCATCTAAAATTTCAAGTCGATCCGTATCTCCTCTGCTCATTAAAGGAGGCATACAACAGTAAGCGTCCGCAATTGTTCACCGTTGCACTATTTCGTCTCTAGAAAATTGCCTTTTTTTGGCATTTTTTTTTCGCTAAAATTCGGCACTAGAATAAGTAACAGAAGTAACAGTGTGAGTATTTTTAATTAATATCTGTTCGATGCTTATTCAGATCTGCTGCCTATGGACACGATCTACTGTTGTTTACCACCTATACATAGGTGTCAAGAGCAGATAATAACACATATGTGTTATTATGTGCTCTTGATACATAATAACACAATCATTTGACACACACACTTGACAACACACTTGATAACACACTTGACAACACACACTTGATACATAATAACACAATGTGTTATTAACTGCTCTTGATAGGTGTGCAGAATACGTTGAGAGATGAGAGATGAGATGGGATAAGCAGGTGCGCTCTCTCGGGTCCGGCAGGTCCAGCTGCTGTGTAACTGATTACAGCACAGATCCGCGATAACACAGCAATAGCGCGGCTGTCCCACTTGCTGTGCGTACGTATGGAAAACCATCCCCTTCAAAAATCATTTTCAAACATTTCAAATACACGATTTTAAATTAATTTAAAACATTTCAAATTAATTAATAAAAATACAAATTACTTTATATTGTTCGAGAAATTTAAATTCAAAATTTAAAATCAATTTATTAACTTGCAAATTAATTCACAACTTTCCAAAATATTTGCCTGATATACAATTCCTTCACATCATTGTAAAAATTCATTTTCTAAACGTACAATTTATTTTCAAAACAACAAACCAATTTACTAACTTGCAATTTAATTGAGAACATGTTTTCATAAACTCACAAATGTTCAAATCTCGCTTCATCACCCTAACAATTGAAATTACAAGTTTTAAATTAATTTACAGAACAACGAATCAGTTCACTAAGTTTTAAATTAATTTAATTATTACTTTTAACATTAATCGCCAGAAATGCGAATCTAACTGTTGGTTTCAGAATTATTAGGTAACAAACAACAAATGTATAGCTTAAATTACAAATTAATCATACAGCTTTCAAAGCATATATAAATGTTTACAATCAAAGAGCTCATTTAACAATTAATTTATGCAACTTCCAATCTATTCAAGACCTCTGAAATTACTTACTAACGTTTACAATTTGCCGCCCACTCTGTTGTTCCGGTCTGTGTGCAAAACTATTCAGGAAACTTCGAATCAATTCATACGACTTGCAATCTATTCACTACACTTTCCGAACCAGCCAACTACAAACCAAACTCGACAACACTCAAACAAATTTGACCGGCATTTACAGGTGATTATAGGCGAAATAGAGTAGAGAAACATTAAGACTTTGGTAGTAAATACATTTCGTGTTTATTTACCTTTCTTTTTTTATTGAGACGTTCCAAGTGCCTATGCCGGCGAACGCTTTTGCCAACCAGCAGAGCTATGTTTACACACATGACCTGGACGTGACGTCACGCTGAATGCTCCTTGGGCAACACTGTCACTACACTGTGTACAGCTGTAAACAAACACAGTTTTCCCGCAGGGTGGTAAAAATCGGATCCTCCAATACTATAGCGTATCCATCCGAGCTGAAGCATCCGGGCACTTTTAGAATGAATTGATTTGGAGTTTAGTTTGTAGTTGGCTGGTTTGGAAAGTGTAGTGAATAGACTGCAAGTCCTATGAATTGATTCGAAGTTTCCTGAATAGTTTTGCACACGGACCAGAAACAACAGAGTGGGCGACAAATTGTAAAGTTTAGTAAGTGATTTCAGAGGTCGAGATTGAATAGATTGGAAGTTGCATAAATTAAATGTAAGCTCTTTGATTGTAAACATTTATATGTTTTAAAAGCTGTATGATTAATTTGTAATTTAAGCTATAGATTTGTCGTTTGTTACCTAATAATTCTGAAACCAACAGTTAGATTCTCATTTTTGGTGATTAATGTTAAAAGTAATAAATTAATTTTAAACTTGGTGAACTGATTCGTTATTCTGTAAATTAATTTAAAACTTATAATTTCAATTGTTATGGTGATGAAGCAAGATTTGAACATTTGTGAGTTTATGTAACATATTCTCAATTAAATTGCAAGTTAGTAAATTGGTTTGTTGTTTTGAAAATAAATTGTATGTTTAGAAAATGAATTTTTACAATGATGTGAAGGAATTTGTATATCAGGCAATTATTTTGGAAAGTTGTGAATTAATTTGCAAGTTAATAAATTGATTTGTTATTCTGTGAATTGATTTTAAATTTTGAATTTAAATTTCTCAAACAATATAAAGTGATTTGTATTTTTATTAATTAATTTGAAATGTTTTAAATTGATTTAAAATTGTGTATTTGAAATGTTTGAAAATTATTTTTGAAGGGGATGGCTTTCCATACGTACGTGCAATATACAGAAGTGGCAATTAAGCGAGAGAGTGAGGGAGAGTGAATGAGAGTTAAAGCAGTGATCAAATGAGAGAGTGAGAGAGAGGTATAAGAGAGACAAAACAGTGATCGAATGAGAGAGTGATAGAGAGGTAATGAGAGACAAAGCAGTGATCGAGTGAGAGAGTGAGGGAGAGGTAGTGAGCGACAAAGCAGTGACTGAGTGAGAGAGTGAGGGAGAGGTAGTGAGAGTGAAAGCAGCGATCGAGTGAGAG